ACAACTGCGACTAACAAAACGAATTGTAACAACAACAACAATACATGATGAAGAAGAAACGAATTGTATAATTTTTTGTGTAACGTACTCTCGTGTGTAATTTACATTTTATAACAAATCAAAGAAAAACAAACAATTTTAAGGCATAATAATCAAGAATAAACTTTGAAATAGACGACGAGCAATGATGCATCTGAATATACATCTTATGTATGACAACAACAAACAAAGGGAAGTGTTTCCTCTGAATGTATCAGAGCCCTGCACGAACAGGCGACCGAACCGATTCGGCTTTCTTACAACTTCTCTATCGGTTTATTCTCTTGAATATGAATCAGATATAGTAAGAGAATTTTTAGCGCCATTTGAACATTTTTCCAGTGCTTAGTGTTATGTTTTGAGTCATTTAAAAGAAATGCGAACGAAACTTCCTGATTTTCAATCCGCAGTGCTTGGATTCGGGGTGATTCAAATCTGACTGAAGGAAGGATCCGTAGAGATCGAACCCCTAATGCGGGGACATCAGTATAGCTGTGATATTATGAATTCTGTGGATTCATGCAGGGCTCTGGTGCGTATTAATGGGTACGATGGAGTTTCCTGGAAATGAAAGATGGTTTTCTCTACGAATGAGAATATTCCTCATAAATATTACCATAGGAATAGAGAACCTTATATTTAGAGTATACCTGTTCACATCTAGGACACATGATGCGCATTATGCTTTCTTTTCGCAACCTTTCGTAAAGATCATCGCTGGAACCATTATTAAGCTCTATAAGAAGCCGTGACTTTACACTTTTTCAAATATCAAATATATCATTAAACGCCTTCTCATTTCCTTATTCTAGGAAATTTTCTACGAAGAGGTATACATGTATCCCTTAATAGATTTTCAAACCCCCGTCGCATCATTGATCAATAAAGAATGCCCTTTTTTATTATTGTTTTTGCATTTCTCACAAAACTTCTTACAAACATTTTTCAGTTTTAATTCGCTTTAAGACTTTTCGTTTTTTTTATACATAAAGTTCGCTCTAATATACATATGTGTATGCAGTGTATATATATATATTGTGGATCTGATATATATATATATATATATATATATATATATATATATAATTGAATAAATGGAATTACTTTGCACTGCATTTTCAATTAACTTTTATCAGACGCGGCTTATTGCTCGGACGCTCAACAAAAACGGAACCAAAGGACGAAAAGAGCCCGTGGGGGTGGCAGGGGCTAACATAAGACATGAAACAGATTAAGTACGTAAAGAATACGACGAAAAAAATGTATAGATAGATAGATAGATACATATACACATACATATATATATTAGTTATATAAATTCAAAGATCGGCAATAAAACGTTTCAAATTTTGTTAAATTCTTTGGGGATTCACATGGTTTTCGGTTTGGGTGAAGCGGAAGAGAGATAGAGAGAGCAGTGTTGGTCAGTGGTCAGCTGTGTTGTGGAGGGTTGCGTGTTAGGTGTTGATCAACGACAAACGAAATATACTCAAAAATGCTCTAAATACTATCGGAAATAACGTTAAATGCTAGGAAAAGCCAAACTAAGGGTTTGAATTCTTGTCCAGTATCCCGTGCTCTCTTCCGAATTGGTTCTCATCTTCAGCATGGGCCATGGTTGGCTATTGGATCTCTACTCGCTAAACTAAGCAATACATTTTGTAATAGTAACTTTGTGTTCTAGTGTTCTCCTTTTTGTGTGTTGTGTGTGTGGTTTTCTGTCTGTTGTCAACAATTTCGAGAGGCCCTTACTCCGACTTCATTCATCCATCCGTATCCCATTTCTGGCCAGCATTCTCTCTTAAATAGTTTTACTTTTGCAAAGACAATACTTTCGTTGGCGTTGTTTCTTCTAATTGTTGCTGCTTGTTGCTGCTACTGCTGCTGTTATTGTTATTGTCCTCCTCCTGGATCAACGTCTTTAGTAGCGATAGTAATTGGGCTTGAAAGGACCGGCCTTGTTTAGGCCCATGTACTTGGCCTGCTCGTCGCTCAGTTCCGTCAGATGGGCATCGAACGTGGGCAGATGGAGGCTGGCCACATACTCGTCCATCTTCTTGGGCAGCAAATACACATCGGACTTATAGCGCCCAGGCGGTGCATTAAAAAGCTCGATGAGGGCCAGCGCCTGCGTCGCCGATGTAATGGACACCGCAAAGGAGGGAATGCTCGAACAGCTCAGATTCACCAGACGCCCCTCAGCCAGGAGAATGATGTACTTGCCCTCTGGCCAGATGATGTGATCCACCTGCGAGCGCACCTTTTCCCAGGTGAGGTCCGGTGTGCGCAATCCATTCACATCGATCTCCGTGTTGGAGTGCCCCATATTGCTGACAATGCAGCCACTCTTCATCTTGTCCATGTGCTCGCGCACCACCACATTCTTGTTGCCAGTGGCAGTGACCACAATGTCCACATTCCGGATCACCTCGTTCAGCTTCACCACACGAAAGCCATCCATGCTGGCCTGCAGAGCGCATATCGGATCGATTTCCGTGATATACACAATGCAGCCCTAAAAAGAGAATTGCAAAGAGGACTAAGAGATATTCTAGAGAAGCATTTCGTTTGTATATATTCGCACCTGTCCCTTGAGGGCCTGGGCACAGCCCTTGCCCACATCACCGTAGCCACAGACAACAACCTGCTTGCCGCCAAACATAACGTCCGTGGATCGCTTCAAACTGTCCAGAATCGACTCCTTACAGCTGTAGAGGTTATCGAATTTTGTCTTTGTCACCGAATCGTTCACATTCATCGCGGGGACCGTCAGCTTGCCCGCCTTGGACAGCTGATAGAGGCGATGCACGCCCGTGACGCTCTCCTCTACAATACCTTTGACGAGCTTGAACATTGTGGGATACTTTTTCAGCATCAGGTGGGTGGCATCCCCACCGTCGTCCAGTATCATGTTGGGCTGCCAGTTCTCGGCATTCACACATCGATCGATGCACCACCAGAAGTCCTCCTCCGTCTCGCCGCGCCAGGCAAAGATGGGAATGTTGGACTCGGCCAAAGCGGCAGCCACCTCGTTCTGCAGTAGAGAGAGAGAGAGAGAGAGAGAAAGAGAAGGCGAAAGCGAGAGAGAGAGAGAGAAAGAGAAGGCGAAAGCGAGAGAGAGAGAGAGAGTGGAGAGAGGGAGGGGAGAGCGGGTAGAGAGTGGTTAATCAGTGGGTTGTATATTTGGCATGGTTTGGGGTCTTATATCACAGGGCGAAATCAGTACGATTAGGAACTTATTTCCAGTTCATTGCTGCACCCTCTTTAAGCACGGTACTTGTCTGATAAGCCCCGTGCTTCAGTGCCGGGCAGGCACAGGTACAGGGACAGGGTCTGACATGACAGGGAGGGAGGGAGGGTTCTCTGATTCAGCGTGACAACGTGTCATGGCAGTTCTCGATAAAAAAAAAAGGCCTCGAAAGGCCGATGGAAACCTTGGCATGTCGGCCAGCGGCTGTGTGTGTTTGTGGGCAGCGTTCCATTAGACGAACTATAAACTGGTTAGAGGCGGGGAGACTTGTGCTAATTGCATTGGCCACGGCACCAGGAGATGACGGGCCCAAGCATTGACTACACTTGTGTAGTGATATGGAGTGGCCCGATCTTGGTTCCCTGGTCTCCCTGGGGCTGTGACCCAATTCAGGGCACATCAATTATCAGCAACGTCGCGTCATCGATTGCCAAACACTTGAGCCGCAGCGGACCCGCACAGCCAGTACTTAATTGATTAACATGACTTGATTGATCATTTGTTTGTGCTGCGCTTCGCTTTTGCGTGACAACAATTTTCGCAGGGGGTGGGTTAAAGGGGAGGGGGGGGGGGGATGAGTGGGGGGTAGGAGATCAAGTGACTCTACTCACTTGCGTGGAGTAAATGTTACAGGCGGCCCAGCGCACGCTGGCCCCCAGCTCGACAAGGGTTTCGATGAGCACCGCCGTCTGGGCATTTATGTGTGTACAGCCGACGATCTTGGCATCCTTCAGGGGCTTATCCTCGGCGGCACGCTTACGCAGGGCCATAATGCCGGGCATCTCCTGTTCGGCAATTTCGATCTCACGCCGACCAAACGCATGTTGGGCGGTAATGTTGCGCACACAAAAATCAGAGCTGCCTTTGGTGTTTTTCTGAACCTTTTCGCGGGGTGGCACATCGTCACCGTCGTCGCTGCTGCCCGTGTACGAGGCAGAGCTGAACGAATCCGTGGAGGAGGCGCTCAGCGAGCGACTGCGATAGCGGCTGGTCTTCTTCAGAGCCGACGATTGCTTGGTGGGGGGTGGTGGCACCACAACGCTGGCATCCTGAGGCGGTACGGCAGCCTGCTGCTGCTTGTCGCCACCACCGAAACCGGGATCCACCACCACCGTGTCCGCCAGATTGTTCATAATATATTATCCTTTGCCTCTGCTTCTGCTGCTGCCTTCGCTCTGGCGCTGTTATGTAAATAACACAACTGCCGCAGGATGTTATGGATGTGTGGATATGGGGTCTGATTACTCTACGAATCGCAGATAATTATCACGTGATACTCCAGCGGCTCGCTTTATGTGTGTCAGCGTTACGTCCGCAGTCGAGGCCGTCGCTTGTGTCAATTCACAATTTTAATTGTATTTTTTGTGCGTCTCCTTTGTTTCACCTCTCCTCTGACGCTGCTCTGCTCTGCCTCTGTTGTTGCGTTGCTTCTTCTTCTTCTTTGCTCCGATGGCTCTCTACGCACGCCAGAGCATTGGACAAGTATTGAGTGATGGCTGGCGGTTGGAGTGGGACTGGTCGGAGTGCTGTTTCGGTGTCAGTGTATGTACGAAATAAATGGGATCGCGATCGGTTAATTTTAGTTGATTTTTATCAAGAAAAAGAACAAAATCGAAACGAGGACTGTAAACTAGAGCTGGGTAAAACAAGCTGTAAACGCACTATCGATACATCGCATAATCGGTTGCGCTTGTAGTGTTGGTAAATGGCATTAATTTTCATAAAAGTATTCGAACTTTATTCAACAGAAAACACGTAGTAAAGTAAACCCCCATCTCCACTACATTTGCTCCCCCAGGTAACCGCACAGCTCCGCATCATCCTCACTCGTGACCAGACGCGCCTCCGTCTGCAGTCCGACCTTGTAGGACTCCCGCTTGTTCACCAGTCTCGACAGGTTCTCTACAGCCAAGGGTCCCTGCTTGGCGTACTTCTTTATGAAATCCGCCACGAGATGCTTGTCCACCACGGACATCTCTAGGATGTGGCTCCAGGCGAGCAGAGCCAGCGGTCGTTCCGGCGAGAGCGATTGCGAGGGCGTGATAAGGTGGCGATAGAGGCAGCCGCCGACAATCTGCTGCAACTGATCCACTTGGCCCTGGAAGGCGCAGGGATGGTACATCATTACAATAGCGCCCTCCGCGAGATTCCTCATGTATCGCTGTGGCGGCAGGTACGAATAGGTGCCGTACTCCGCTGGCATTGGACGGTATTGGCCACTGGGTACCAGGAATCACATAACCAAATTAATATGAGAAGGAAAGTCTTGATGTATGATCCCTACTTGGTGGGTGGGAGATGCGTGTACTCGATGGACACGTTCAGGCACTTGGATGGCGGGACATAGGCACTGGGTAGGAAGTGCTCCGTAAGCACGGCCTCCCTGGACATATTCGGATCGTAGGTGCTGCGATTGTTACTGATGCAGAGGATATTGAAGCTCTGGCCCACATCATTCGGATCGTAGTCCACCGCAAGATTTCTCTAAAAGTATCAAAGATGAGTCACGGCTCAAAGGGGAAATCCCCACCCACTCACCATTCCGTCATCGCAGATGGTTTCCTTTAGGGTTTTGACTGCCTCCACCTGTTGCTTAAGTCGTTCATTGGGCGCCTGGGGAAACCAGTTCCCATTCCAGCTATCTGTAAAAGCCTCCTCCGATGCCGCCGATGTGCTCGTGTTTTGTTGCTTTATCACATGGGGCTCCCCCGGGGCATAAGGGAACCACTTGCCCCTCCAATCATCTTTGGTGTTGGGTATTGTGGTCGTCTCCGGTACACGTTGCACTTTCGGAATGTGAGGCTCTCCGGGAGCGTAGGGAAACCATTTTCCCTGCCAGTCGTCCAGGCCAAAATTCGGCTCCAGAAGATTGGCCTGCGCTTTTTTGATGGACTTAGCCTGGCATGTAGCAATGATAAGGCACAAAACGGTCAAAGAACGCAAAAGGAACATAACCATTGCAATTGAAGGAAACAAAAGACCAACAAAACAAAAGAGAATAGTATAATTAAGAACTTTTCGAGCAACAGCTGTGTTGGGATACGCTCATTTTGCAGCACTGCTTAGGTCACGACATTGACCAGGGTATCAACAGGTGGATTGGGATTTTAAATGGCATCATTTTGCTCGATTTTGCTTATTGTGGGAAGAACTATTTTGGATTTTTAGAGGTATATAAAAATCCAATAAAAGCAAGTGTTTAAAATAAAACATTCAAGTAGAAAATTGATTCATTAATTGGATACAATTATGTGGGCAGGGCTGAGAGATCTAGATAGCAAGTAATATTCAACGGAACATCAAAAACGAGTATTTCTTGGTGAATAACCAGTTGACAACAATGATTCCCGGCAACACTAATTTGCATACCCTAGGGAAAAGATATAGAACTGAGAAAATTTTTGTCATCCCAGTCTCCGTAGGTGTCAGGATCGAGATTAATATATACAAGATACTAATAATATACATGAAAATGTCTAAAACATAGCAATTTGAGAAAAAGTCTTTATAAATTATGTTTTATCTTCATATAAAATCAACGAATTAGGGTATACAAAGCAACAACGCGACTTTTTTTGTTGAACTATTTTGTGTAAAACTTGTTTTAGTCAAAATACTATAAAAGTAAAGACTAAAAACTTACCAATTTTGTAGAAAATTTATTCATCAATGGCCTAAAATTATGTGGGCAAAACTAAGGAATCTGTAAATTGAGCACTATGAACGACTATCCTCTTTTTTTAACGCAAAATGCAATAAAAGCAAGTGTTTAAAATAAAGCAAACAATTAGAAAATAGATTCACTAATCGGATAAAATTATGTGGGCATGGCTAAATGTTCTATATAGCTGAGAATATTCCACGGAAGATCAAAAACGAGGAATATGTAAATTAGAACTTGAATTCGTCAGTATATATACGGTATATTTTATAAATGAGATGGTATGTTTCGGTATATTTCTGATGGTCGGACGGTATATTTTATCGATGACAAGAGAAGAAGAACAAAAAGCTGCCTCGTAGGGTGTTTGAATGGTGATTTTTTAAACGCATTATTTGTACATTTGCGAGTAGCTAAGGCTCTTTTTCATTGCAGCCAACCTGACCCTTATAAATATTAATCCCAATTGTACATTAAGATGCAAGTGATTTGCGCAGTAACGCCAGTTATCGCTAAGAAACGTCCGCTGTGATTTCCATTTCCGTTTTTCACCGACGAACAATAACAAAGGTCTGACTGCGTGTGCGTGTGGTTGTTGTTGCTCGACTGGACTGGAAATAATACAACGCAGAAGGCCGAAAAACTGCGAATCAGAAATCAACAGCACCACAATGTCGTGGTTCAATCCCTGGGATGGGCTAAAGACAAAGATGTGCAGATACCTGCTGCAGCGATATTTGGGTCAGTTTTTTGAGAACAATCTGAATTTGGAGCAGCTGAAAGTGGATCTGTACAATGGCAGGGCCGTGGTGGAGAATATCTCGCTCAAGGTGAACGCCTTCAATGATCTGTTCGAGGACCAGGGCTGGGCCTTTGAGGTAGTATCCGGACACATTGGCTGCCTGACGGTGGCGGTACCATGGAATGCTCTCATGACCAACGACAGCTCGCTGGAGATCTCCAATCTGACGATAACGCTACGTCCGGTGACACGCTTCCAGAGCGGCACCACCATGCTGGAGTCCATGTGGTCGTCGGTGAGCAGCTCCATGCAGATGGCCGAGGAGTGCATGAAGCAGGTGGACGATGATGTGCCCTTTCTCAACCACAACAATGCCCTCATTGGCCTGGAGAAGTTCGCGGAGACTATCGACAATGTCCTAAATCGCATTAAGGCTAAACTCACGAATACAACGCTCAATATCGAGTACCTGCTCCCGCAGTCGGACAGAAAGCTTGTTATGTCCTTCCAGGCCAGTCACGTAGACTATATGAACAAAACGGGCTACGAGAGCCTCAATCACAATGGTGTGGATCTGAGCAGCAGCCAGACGGTGGCGGATGACGATGATAGCATTATCTCTAACTTCAATACGCTGCCAATGATTGCTAAGCACAATCTGGTGATCGAGGGGCTGACCATACACACTTCCGAAGTGCTGGATATCGACAGACACATCCATTCGGTGAGCGGGCCAATCCAGTACGAGCAACTCTGCAAGATCGTAGAGCTCAAGGGATCGCAGAACATCCAGATCAACATCAAGCAAACCGAGAACATTGTGGGTCCCAAAGTGAATCTGGAGATCATACTGGATGATATCTACTTTATACTGACGCCGCGGCAAATCCACCTCCTGGTGGAGATCTCCAAGGGCTTCAGCAACAATGAACGGCCCAAGGATACGCTGCGCAAGACACGCTGCAAGAGCATCAAGTCTACGACGCCGCCGAGCGAGTATCAGCAACGCGAGCCCACCAAAATGACGGGTATACTCTCGCAAAATACCGACTGGTCCTCAGAGCCCACAGAGTACTCGAGCTATGAAGTAGCCAACCAGGAGCCTGGAGCCACCAGGAGCGTCTACTCCAGGAGTGCACATCGCAAGATGTGCGAATCTGTGGGTGGAAATTCGGCCTCCAGCATGGTTACCTCCTGCAGCAATGCCCAGCAGGAGATGGGCTACACGGAAAAATCCGGGGAGATCCTTAAATTCAAAATACAGATCTCCCAGGTCTTTGGGATCGCCTTGCACAATGATATTCTCATCCAGAACACCGCGAGCATCGATAGCTATACGCGTGTGTTCGACAGCTCTAGTTTCCAGAGCTACTCGCAGACGTCGCAGCAGTTTTTCCACCAGAACACCCAGACGGCAAACCACCTGCCGATGGAGAACCTCAACTATTTGCTGATAAAAGCGGCGCCCATTATTGTGAGCGGAAATCAGCAGCGCTACTTTCAGGAGCTCACCTCAAAGACCACACTCTCGGCAACGGCAGTGGACATTTGCGAGGTGCTCGACAATGCGATAGACCATCTCATCCAGTTCGATCGCCAGCGGAACTGCCCCGATGGCTACCACATTCGTCCGGAGATCGTGGTCAATCAGAGCTCGTCGTTCCTGTTCAAGCAGAACCACAATCGTTGCACCAACAAGATTGAGTGTATCTTCGATGAGTGCACCGCAGAGCTCGACATCTCGATTTACGATCGATTGGGCGCCCTCTTCGGGCAGTCGCCCTTTGCACAGAGCTCTCGGGAGAATGAGATCTATCCAGAGGATGGCAGTCTGACGGAAGTGCAAGGGAAATGCGAGAACTTGAGGCTACATCTGCGATTCCCAGTAGTCGATGGGCGGCCGCCCAACGATCCCCACAAGATTCCCTGGTGGAAGAAGAACGTCCGCCAGGATTTCCTGGCCCTAGAGTTTCGGAGTTTGTTGATCGCCTCGCGGACCCACATCACCATCCTGGCGGAGGAAATGGACGCCTTCTATTGCGATGCTGAGAAGCAGAGTGCCATTCCCCTGCTGAAGGGCCATCAAAAGAACAACAAGAAGATCCAGATCGATGTGCTGCAGCCCAAGGAGAACAACAACGACACCCGAACAACGGATCATAACAAGAAGCCCAAGCGGCGGTCGCCCTTTAGCTCCAAGTGCACCTTTGGCTACACCACCAATGTGGAGGGTCTTGAAGGGTGTGCGGATAAAACGGATTCCTTTCTGCCTGGTGAGACAGAGGAGATCAACGACTTTTGCCAGAGCTGCACGCAATCCTCGAAGCTAAAGGTCGCGGTGTATGTGCCTCAGATCAAGGTGGTGTTGGAGTCTAAGCTGATGTACGAACTGATCTACAATCGCCTCAATGGCGATCTGTTCATGTGGGAGCCGCGTTCCCCCCACTACGACTACGAGAAAGAGGAGGAAAAGCAGAACGAAAGCGAGGAGGAGGAGCCCACCCTGGAGGAGAGTGCCATGGAATATCAGAAGCACAAATACGACAGGAGTGTCCTGCTGAGCACCAGTGCCATGGAGAGCAGCATCTATTTTTCCATGGCAGAGAATACTCTACCCAAATCCCATGCCAATCCCAGTCGCAGTCCCCAACTGTGCACCGATGACGCCTTCTCCTTTGAGCTGCTTGTGGCAGAGGGATCCCTGATATTATTCTCGCACTTTGTGGATCCCGAGACGCAACTGCGGACGCAACAATGCGGCAAGTTTCAGGTGAATATCAAGGAGTTCAAGCTCTTCACCATCAACGGACTGAACAACGATCCGAATCGGAGTTACTTTTGCATTCAATTGAGCCACGTGGAGGCGCTTCACTGTGGGAATACCCAGCACGATTTGCATCTCGCCTGGAGCGATCATCTAGATGGCAATCTCCAGCCCACCATCTACAATTTTGGCAGGCAGGAGCAGCATCAGGAGCCCTACAGGAAGCGGCAGGAGGTGCTCTCCGTGGTGGCGGAGATCAAGAAGCAGCCGGAGAAGCGCATAAAACGCATGAAGATGTCTTTCGGTATCAATGGGGCCATACTGCAGCACCATCCCGCCTTCTCGGAGCACAATTGGCTGAATCAATTGCTTGACTTTATGGATGTAACCGATTTCCCTATCGAGGCGTATGTGCCCTTCGCTCTCGTCTCCGAGATCCAGCTTCATGTGTGGAATGCGGCCATCGACTATCGGCCCCAGTTCTTCCCACATCGGGCCCTTATTGACATTGGCTACTGCACGCTAAGCAGCAATATTATATCTTCGATGAGCGGCTGCACCCTGCGGGTGATTGGCGAGGACTGTGTCCTCAGCATGGGCTCCGGCTCCGGTTCCTCCGGCTCTGATACCCTGATCCCGGTGCTGAATGTGGGTCTGCTGAACATCTCCTTCCGCCTTAACGAGGACGATAAACAGCAGCCCAGAGTGGATCTGCGTTCCTCCATCCACGACATGCACCTGAAGACCTGCTACGACTCGGCGGCGGCTCTGGCACAGCTCATTGGCTATGTGGCCAATGACAAGGATCTCATTTCGCCCGAAGGGAGCTCACTGGAGGCCGAGAGCAAGATTGCTGAGCCCAAGGCCAGTGAGGAGGATCAGGTGTGCGACGACCAGACCCAAGATCATGTGAACAAACTGATGGCCGATGCCGTGATGGATGTGGAGAGTACGCCCGGACCAAGGCACAACAAGCTGGCGGGGAAGGAGGAGGGCATCGAGATCTTCTACTTCCCCGACGAACCCAAGGAGAAGGCGGAGCTGCAGAAGAAAAAGAATATAGCATCCTCGCCCTCAAAGAAGAAGGAGCCCGGCGATATGCAGAGCATATCCCTGATTGTGGAGAGTGGCCCCTCAGAGATCTGCAACATTGTGGACTTTGAGTCGAACGTGATGCTCCAGTCGTACTACAATCAGACTCTGGAACAGCCCCTGCAGCAGGTGCAGCAGGAACTGGGGGATGTGCTCCCCCCGCTGATGGAGGAGCGTGACTTTGACATCATTCACGACGATGAGATCTCCCGCATGGACAAGTTCGGAGTCAAGCAGATCTACGTGTCCGAGGATCCGCTCCAGATCGTGGACAATCACTTCTGTCTGCCACACGAGAAGGTGGATCTGCTGAGGCCGCCCGTGAACTTTCCCATTGCCGAGAGCAGCTACACTTTGTGCGAGATGACCTTCACGTGGCACCTGTACGGCGGCAGGGACTTTCCAGATCAACCCACAATCGATGGCAGCAGAAAGCAGACCCAGAGCGCAGGCTACGGACACATGTCGGACACGTACAAGTACGGGGTATCGCAGCCGCAAGGCGAGAAGGCTTCGAAGAAGGGGGTAGGTCTGCCCAAGGAGCCAAAGGGCTCGAGAAGGAACATGGATGTGCTGGTGGAGATACAACTGTCGAAGATCCGCTTTTCCTACGAGGCCTATCCCCTCAGCTCCATATACTCCTCGCGGCAGGTGCTGCTCATCTCGGAGATCGAAATTCGAGACCGCCTGCGCTCCTCAGACATCAACAAGTTCCTATATCATCCGAACATCAGCAATATATCCCGCCGACCCGACGAGAACATGGTCATTGTGAAGGCCTTGAATGTGCGACCCAACCCTCAGAAGAGCACCGCGGAGGAGTGCTCCCTGCGGGTGTCCATTCTGCCCATCAAACTGAATATTGACCAGGATACGCTGCTCTTTCTGGAGGACTTCTTTTCGGCGTTGTTCAAGAACTCCTCCTCAAATTCCAGTGCCTCAGCGAATTCCAAAATGGAGCTCAACTCCTCCTCTGACATGCCCGTGATGTCGGTGAACAAAATGTCTGATGCCCTGCAGGATCTGGAGGCGAGGCAGATTGTGGAGCGGAATCTCGATGTGCTCATCGACGAGGGCAAGGACACCACCGCAGAGCTGGAGGATGATCCCCTGGGAGGAGAGTCGGCACCCGTCTACTTTCGGGAGGTGATCTTCAGCCCCGCTTTGCCCATCTGCTTCGACTACCATGGCCGTAGGATCGAACTGTCGCGTGGCCCCATTACGGGTCTCATTATGGGTCTGGCGCAGCTACAGGGATCGGGCATCTGTCTGCGGGAGATCGTCAACCGTCGCGGCATCCTTGGCTGGAACAAGCTCTGCGAGTTCCTCTGCAAGGAGTGGCTAAAGGACATCAAACGCAATCAACTGCCGAACATCCTGAGTGGCATTGGGCCCACCAATGCGGTGCTGCAGCTGTTCCAGGGCGTTTACGACCTTTTCCGGCTGCCCATCGAGCAGTACAACAAGGATGGGCGCATCATTCGAGGATTCCAGCTGGGGGCCCAGAGTTTCACGGCTCGCACTGCCCTCGCGGCACTGGAGATCACCTCGCGGATCATCCACTTGCTGCAGTTCACGGCAGAGACCACCTTCGACATGCTGTCGGCGGGCCCGTCTCTCAAAAAGCGATACACGAAGCGAGGCAAGAAGAAGCGTCAGGGTAGGCCCAAGGATTTGCGCGAGGGCGTAGCCAATGCGTACACTATCGTCAAGGAGGGTATCAACGACTCGGCCAACACGCTGATCGAGGCGGCCATGACAGAGCACGACCAGAAGGGCTACAGTGGCGCTGTGGGAGCTGTTGTGCGGCAGATACCCCAGCTAGTCGTCTGTCCGGCTGTCCTGGCGACGCAGGCCACAACGAACATACTCGGCGGTGCCAAGAGCTCCCTGGTGCCGGAGGCGAAGCTCGAGGCACGCGACAAGTGGAAGCACGAGATCCACTAACGGATTAAATGGTTCAAAAATGTAATCTTAAGATTAATTCTACTTTTCTGTTCGGGACACATACATTTATCGTATAAAAAAGAGTTGCATATATAAATATATAAATATTTTTTTATTATTTTACTAAAAAAAATAAACTTGTAAATAAAATGGTACATAAAAAATACTGCTGGAGGAGATCTCTCGACGGGGTATGCATTAACGGACACGAGATCTCTTCAAATGATAAAAATGTATTTTAAAAATCATTAAAAAGGTCGAAATAAATAAGGGACAAGAAATCTATTTAAAAAATGGGATTTTTACTTATTTTCATCAAAATCAATAATATAATTAAAGTTTTATCTATTGGTTTCGTGTTTTCATATTTTCATTTGACTTATTTACTTAATAAATGTATAGAAAAAGGAAAGTGCTGAATGATTAATGGGAAATGGAAATTGAATTATCTATAGGAAGTGGCTTCCTGTATTTCAACGATTTTTCTTCAAAATATTCCCCATTTCAGATCTCTTTTCCGTGGAAAATGATTTTTATTTGGTTTTCCCCTTTCAATTTTTTTGTATATTTATTCTCAATTTGAAATCTCTTAATTCTATTGGTATTTTTTATGGTTTGATTTATCAGGAATCTTTTACTTTTAAGATCCGCTAAACTAGTATCTGTTTTTCTTCATATATCAACGATTTTTAGTTTGGTTTCTAAATTTAATTTTTTTAATATTATTCAATATTCTTCATTTGAAATCTCTAGATCTCTTTTTCATCTATGATTGCTACTTAGTTTTTAGTTTATAATTTGTTTATCTATGGTTCGATGTAACAGTAAGGAATAAATCTTTTAATTTTCAGATCTCTTTATATGAATATACTTTTTTTTGTTCTTTGATGTAGTTTTCGTGGTCTTTTTATTTTTGGTAGTAATTTGGTACACAGTTTAACGCTTTTTAAAAAAACTTGGAGTGTGCTTCGAAGGTAGATGTAGACGTGTATAAATATACAATAGATAAGGTACAAAGATGGCTAACAAATAAACAATTTATAAAGATATACAAAAAGCAATGTACCCTGGCACCCGGATAGCTTCGATAGCGTCATACAAGATGAAGGGCGTCCGTCGTCTAGCGCTTTAGAAGCAGCCGGACAGAGGCAGCTGCGGTGGGGATTTCATTCACTGTAGCCTTAAGTAGTCTGCCACTGAAAGAAAACATTCGGATTTGCAGGGGGATGGATTGCATTGGGTAATTAGATAAATGAATCACCTTCAGGGTGGGCTGTCCTTGGCCTTGGCGGTCCGCCTCCCGTTCGCGACGTTCCTGCTCCAATGCCTTCTGCTGCTGCCTGCGCAGGTTCTCGGGATTTTTAATTCCACGCGACTCGTTCTCCTGGCGACGCTTTTCCGCAGCGTCCAGTTGCTGCTGGCGGCGCTCCTCCTGCAAAGAATCAGTTTTCAATATGGTCTCTACATCGCTTCCAGCACAGCTATATCGCATTTGTCGCACCGGTGAGGGCATGAGATTGGCTTCCTCGGCACTGTTGCCGCAGCAGGATAGGCACACACCCATGTCTGTTTTTATTTTGTTTTTTTTTTGTACACAAAACAAAAATAGGGCTTCCTTCTTGTGTTGTTTTTGCGTAGTTTGTTTCGCCTTATACTTTGTTTTTGTGTGTCAGCTGACTGCTAGGGCTGTCGCACTCATTAATTCAGAAACTAATCAGTTTCTCTTTTAAAGAAACTTCAACGATACTTTAAAATTAGTGGTTTGCTTACAGAGACCAAAAATGTCTTTATTAATTAAGTTTTAAAAACAGTTTCTTAGTATTAAATAAACGAAGAGGGTATGGCCATACTCCGGTTGACAAGCAACAAGTCTTCAAATACCAGCAACATTGACGTGACAACATTGCGACAGTTTCTTTAATGTTCTTCTTTGTTCAAACCGTCTTTTAGTCAAAATACAATAAATGGGAGTACTTAAAAGTAATTAATCTTGTAGAAAATGTATTCATCAAATGTATAAAACTATGTGGGCAGAGCTGAGAGTCTTAGTTAGCCAGCATTATTCAACGGAATATCAAAATTTAGCAATTTGAACCATTACTGTCTTACGTGTTTTTTGTTTTACCTTTTTCGCTAAAACCATTTTTTAGGCAAAATCCAATAAAAGCAAGTATTATAATAAACCAGTAAGGTAGAAAATAGGTTAATTAATTGGATAATATTATGTGGGCAGGGCTGAGAGATCTAGATAGCTAGTTATATTTAACGGAACATCATAAACGATGAATATGTATAATAGAACTTGAATTTGTCAGTATAATTTTAACAGAGACGGTATATTTTGAAATATTTCTGATGGTCGGTCACACTGATTTTCTTGCCACCATGTTTAGCTCACACACCTTGCAAATTTTATACTTTTCATAGTGTTTTCTAGTACTTTCCAGTATATTTTAAGATGCGTTATTGACTCACCCTCTTGTCGAATGCACCAATGTAGAAATCGTGTAGAAATGCCGCTTGGGGCCATATCCCAGGCCACATCGTGACCAGCATCGAATTGTCGATTGTTTGCCCTCAAAATATCACTTTTTTCAAAAATGTCAGATAAAAAGGCATGTCAAAAAGTGGATAACGCCACACTGGCACTTCCATGGAGCATATATAAAAAAAAGGGCCGGTTTTCCCCTTCAGGTGTCGCCTTTGGTAATTACATGCCATGTCGTTAATATGTAGCAGATGTGAAGCTAGCATGTAGTTACTAGGTCAAGAAATTAATTTAGTGAACATTTTTGTTCACTGTTTTGGCCTAAACCCTATTTTATGAACATTCCAACAAGAATGAAAACTTAAATTCAACCAGTCTTGTGGGAAATTGATTAAGCAATCGGATCAAATTATAAGTCTGGAGCTGAGGGGTCTTTATAGATAGTAGTATTCAACCGAATATCAAAAACGTGGGATATGATGGAAGTTGAGCGCAGATAGTTCGTCAGTATATTCGCGGTATATTTGGAAATTTGTGACGTAGCTCTACTACGAAGAACGCAGTTTGGTTAAAGCGTGAGAGCTAATTTGAATTTCTCAGCCAAGAACGCTCCTGCGCTATAAATTAGTATCGTTCTTGTTCTAGTTTATCTTGCCCCATCGGTCCCGACCTTTAACTTTGCGAGCAAACAGCTTATGCTAAAGAAAAACATTGCGTGGGCTCAGTTGGGGTGCTTAAACGCGATCCGTCGTCCTCTCTCCAGCTGTTTTGTGCAGGCGTAGTGTAAGGGCGCGCACTTTTTCCGTGTCTGTGTGCGTTTCAGTGCTAAGATTTAGAGATAACCAATTATCGACGTTTAATTACTAATTCGGCTGGTGACCCCTACTATAATAAATCATTATGTTGGATGTGCCCAATGAAGGAAAGGTGAGTTTTAACTAAATTGTATGCAGTGTTACTGTTTCCTCCCACAAACGCTAGGTTCTCTCTCTCTCTCTCGTCTCGGCAAACGCAGGTTTGTATGGGTGAGTGCATTCTTGCATTCCAGTGGATGCAACAAATGTTGCCGGTCTCATGGACTGTATTTATAGGCACCGCACCTCTCTTCTCCGGATATCTGGTAACGAAGCCCTTTTGACTCGGACTCTCTGACTGGTTTTGTCTTTCCCTTTATGAGACTCTTGCATTTGCTTAACGTTAACCTTCAAGTGACCTCCCTTCAGCCGCGACGCCAAGTACTGGCATGTGTCGCACAGCTGTGTGGCCCCGACAGTGTGTGTGTGTGTGAGTGGGTCTGTGTGGTTTTTTGGGTGGCCAACATTTGCCAAGCCGTTGGGACATATATGTACACATATGTATAATACGATTGTCTATGCCTTATCAATCGCCCCCCAAAATACACTCTAATCGGTGGTATTTGTAGGACGTGCTGATAACTCCTTCAGACTATGTAGCAGTTGTTCCGTTAGCGTTGTTCACATGAGTATGCGTGCGTGTGTGTGTGTGTTTGGTGATAAGTGCCCGCGGATATTGGCTCTCACACCCACTCTTTCTAATGCCTTTGATTACATTTCTTACTCTCATATGGTGCTTCTCCATATTTATTTTCCTTCCTCTTAATCTTCATCTTCTTCGTGCTTCGTTCTTCTCCTCCCACTTGACCACTACGTGGCCTCTCTTATCTTTGCTGCTTTGTTCATTAAGTGGTGGCCGGCTTCAAGGTGTAATAATTGCAAGGTGTGGCGCTTGCACTCTCTTAGGTACACTAATTGATTTGCATACGCATTGGAGAACGGCAAAAATCACATTTTTGTTGCAATAACATAAAAAATACTTATCGTTGAATAAACTTAGCTTTCGCTGGTAAAGTGATCATTTTTACCCACTCACTCAATTCACCCTAAAATACCAGTGTGAGGAACGGCTTACACGCATACATGAAAATGCGCTGAAGACTGACTGGACCCAAACAGAGTCGAAGGTGAAAATTCAGCGAACAGGGAACATTTTTGCAATCAGTCAAAGCCGTTCTGTTACGCATATGCACAGTTTTCTAAGACAATTGATTGGGCACCAGTCTACCGCCACCTTACCTTACCTTAAAATATACCTTGGCCGGCGCTTTGTTGGTTTTGTTTGTTTGGATGGTTTTTTTTTTGTTTTGCTCAGCACTTGACGCAAACGCACACACACACACGCACACGCACATACACTCAAACAGAAAGAGCAGCTTGCTATCACTTGTTGCTTCTGTCGCGTCCGTCGCTGTTGCTGTTTCTGCCGCCCGTACGCTTGTTAAAAAATCCCGTATTGAAATTGAAATTCAAATGGAACCCTAGCTTTATTTTCAATTGCACACTCGACCAGCGCGCTTCGTTCCGTGCTGTTTCACTATTGTTTTCTGTTCTTTCCGCTGTTTTCCCGATCAACTGTCTGCGACAATAATCGCGCGCGTTTCTCAAGTGCAAAAAATATAATAGTTAACAAACAAATTTCATATAAAACCCTTTTGAACTGTACACAATGACATCTGGCATCAGGCCCATTGATGTTTTGCTTCAGCGTGCCGGTGTAAGTTCTTAAATTCGAACCGAAACACCCTTCGTAAGACGATATTAAGGCCAAGTTCAAAACGTTAATGAGCCACATAGTCGTTAAGTGTAAACGGTTCTGAAGTGATCATCGAAAGAACCTGTTCTATAAAAACCAGAAACAGTCCTACGAAGGAAAATAATAATTTCCCCCTTAAGAGCCAATGTTTTAGGGAAGTTTTTGCATTAGAGACCTGGGACGACTAATTAATTGTTTCGGGTCAAGGGAGCTACTTGTCGAGACATCTCTTGTCCTAGATTCCTCGGATTTGATCAAAAATAAGACTTTTTGTAGATAGGTCTCGATGATTTCAAAAAGTGTTTGTCGTTCGAATTTCTGTTGTAAGGAAGTAAGTGTTCTGTAAGAAGTAAGGTACGAAAATTATTTGCTTGTCTCGACGGCAGTACATATCTTATCTCAAAGCAGACAAAGAGGAAAAAAGAGAATATATAATTTACTTTAATTACCGGATCTCCAGACGTGTATTTGTGTGTGTCAGGTGTGTTAGAGGGCCTGGTTGGTAACCTGGATGGTTGTTGATCCCCAAAAACCATTTCCGAGTTGGCACAGCTGTTTTTATTTGAGCATTCAAATATTCCGAGTTTCCGATGATGGAATGCACAAGACTTCTCCGAGCTGCACACGGAAAGAGTCGCCACAAAAGACAGGGATCCCAACAACGAAACGTGGGCCAATTATCTTGAGCTTGTGTTGACCTTGTCGAAGTTCAAGCACCTGCCCTCTGACACCGGCTTATCGCTCAGATTGCTCATCATCATTGTCTGTTTATCAAAATAAACCCCATGCAATCGTCTGCCATCTTGGGCGCCATAGGCGTGGCACTTGTTTTTCACTCCACACCATTAATTTGCGTAATCATTTTGAAAAAAAAAACGATTGCAGCAATAATTTTTTTTTTCACAATTCGATTGCATTTTTCCCGACTCGGATTGACTGATTGACTGACACTGGGCCTCAATCGGAAGATTAAAAAAAACAAAACGTACTGTTTTCAAGCAAAACATAGTTTTGTTTGTTTAGAGTTGTCTTTGTATTTTTATTTGAAGATAGATATCGGGACAACCTTGTGAGTGGAGTTCAAGGTCTAAAACCACCTCTTCCACCCCTCATAGGACTGGGTGTCGAACGATTTATTGTCAATATGCTCTTTATGGATTGCATGGTGCTTAAAAAATAACTGTTAACCCATTAAGAGCCAATGGATATATAAGTATCTAGAAAAATTATGGAACTTGAAGAATTTTAGCGCGGAGCTGGTGAAAGATATCGCAATAGTTCTTCTTGTTCATTAAGGAGGAAAGATTGATTGATCTACAAGAAGAATTAATTTTACAGACAGCGTTACTTTTTGAGTTTTACCTACAAAATTTCACCCGTGAAAATAGTGATTTTTTAATGGTCGGAAAACTTAAAATCGATCAATCGTTTTTGCACTTGAACAAACTTAACAGCGATATTTAAACACATTAAAATGGGAATTTAAATACCAATAGGTTTTTGCTTATACCGAAGATGCAATTATTTTGCTATATGGAAAAACTTTGTCTTGAGTAACAACCAGATGAAAAAATTAATAATAAGATGGTGTCAGAAACATGTTTCCAAAAAAGGTAATTTTGGTATTTATATACCCAGGCTATATTTCAGGTTATGGTCCCCAAAGCAAACATATCAATATTTAGAAGCGCCGCCCCGTAATGGGTTAACGGGAGGAGCTATCATCGTCAGACACCATAAAGGTTTAGATCATACATATGTTGAGTGAGGTAAAGGCCAGAACTTGGAATATCTTTGTGGTTCGATTTTGGCGAACGCAAACGAAGTGAAATTCATGAAATAAACATGTTATTTTTTTGTATTTAATCTTGTCGATGAAATTTGATTATCAGACACGCAAACGTGATAGGACGTATACGTGAAGTAAAAATATTACCCAGATTACTGGCTGGTGGAATCAGATTACATATAGGAGCAACTTTTAACTAGGAGTACATATTATAAAAGTCATGATGAGAGAGATCGAGATTAAGCCAAATGTTACACAAGGAAATTGCACCCGCCTAGAGGTCGTTTCATGGTACATTACGCACGCTCTGGAAATCCAATTACGGAGGAGGATCCGGGGGCTTATCTCTGGGATCATCTTTCAACCGAATGTTCAAATGTCAAACTCATTATACAAATACATAGCTAAATATTCCCCGTGTTTATTATTGCACCAATAGGGCTCTAAATAAATAATATGTTATTTGTCAAAGGAAATTTATCGATCTTCTTGATTTATATTGTAGAATGCAAGTTTAAGATACAAATTACAAATCCCTTTGATAAAAGTTGCTAAACAAATAAAAAAAAAAACATATATATATATAGAATATAATAGAATGGGTTTCCATCGAAAAATGAATATTAATACTCTTGCGTTGTTGCATTCCTGGGACATTCCTCATTGAAACGCGTCTCACAGCCAGCACTGTGTTCCTTGAAGTCCTTCAGGCTGGGCAGAAACTTGAAGAATATACCCTTGTTGAAAAAGTTGTGATTCTCCTGCTCCTCTGGTAGCTCGGGCTCCCCGGCCAGACGCTTCTTTAGCGAATTCTGCATGCCCCAGATAATGGGTTTGCTCTTGCACATGAGCATCTTCAAGCAGCCGGCCTCGTGGCCCCTTTCTAGGTCCTCCTTGGACTCGATCATGTCCAGTATGTGCTCGGGCAGATCCCTATCCATAATGCGGCCCAGCAATCGCTTGCTGTGCGTCCCAGGTCGCTGTAGAAACCAATCTATCGGTGAACCCATGGATAAAGAACGCGGCTGATGATCGTTTGGTTCGTACAGCGCCTCAGGTCCCTCGAAGGCAGCGCCGTTATTTCCGCCGGCTCCACCTCGCGTTGCCTGCATCAGAGTGTTGCCAATCTGCAATCAAAACATTCCAAACAAATTGAAAAGTTATCAATCCAAAAATAAGTAATGTCCCCAAAACTAATGGGCGGCAGATTCGCATCAAACAGCAAACGGAATTGAATGTGCTCAAACATTTAATTGCACTGCATTTTGGGGGAGTTATCTGGATCTGTATCTCTCTAAACGTAGACCTACCGCCTGGGCAATCATGATAATGGCATTGAGCGCCAGAGCTCCCAGTTTTCGGGCATCAAAGCCCACCATCCGCAGCATATTCGTCAGCAGTTGTCCGCTATCGAAACTGCCCATTAAAGGCGGCGGATGAGGAGGCCTTCGAGTGCCGTCATCCTCTTGAGGCGGCTCTTCCTGCTGCTCCGATTGATTCTGCTCCGCTTGGTCCTCTGAGGGCTGGAAGCCGTGCTGCAGAATGCTCATCAAACCTAGCGGCTTGCCCCTGGATCCATTGCCCGAGAAGGCTTGCGCCACCAGATTTGCCACATCGGCGGCTGTATTGATGCCAAACATTTGTCCCGCCATCTTCAAGCTGTCCCCAACGTTATCCAAGACCGTGCCAGCGTTGCCCTCCTGGGCGCCCACATAAAGGAGTAGGATCAAAAATATCCAACGACTTGTCATCGCGAGGTTTCAAGGAATACTGTCATTGCGTTGGTCTTTAGCAAAGCCATCGTCTGGATGAGAGAGCACCAGTAATTGGAGTCTTACGAAAGCAGCAGCCACTGCCTCTGTGATTTTGTCACTTGAGTGCGTGCCTTCGATGCGCTTTGCTGCCTGCCTTAATCGATTTGTCACGAAAGTTTCTCCAAGTGTAAACAACTCTTCTTCTTTGCTCTTTTTCAGGTGCGTGGCCACCAGCGAGTGCCCTCCGATTCGAAGGAGTTCCATGAGGTCACCAAGCGGGATGCTCTGCGGCTGCTGGAGAACGATGTGGACCGTCTGCTCCAGACAACAGAACAGGTGCGTCGGCCAGCCCTCCAGGCGGAGATGGGTCGCTTTGCCGATCTCTTTGGACGCTTCCTGCAGGAGGGTAAGTGGTGGAATAGAATCACCTTTGATTAATCTTCCTAATGCTTTTCGGTTTCCAGAGGGTCCCGCTTTGGACTGGAACAAGATCCAGAAGCTGCCAGAAAATGCTGTGATGAACTATTCGAACCTAAAGTTGCCAAAGAACGAGCAGGTATGCAGCAGGGTCCAACGATCGGTCCCAACCCTTACTTTCCATCCACGAAAACTTCAAGAAATGCCCCATTCACAGAATTTAGAAACTAAAACAAAACGGAAATGAAGATGTTAACTTTTTTTAATTTGCATATTTTCATGTTCTTTGATTTGAAAACTGATTACTGAAATGTTTGAATACTCTTATTGTTGACACAATATAATCTACGGCAAATTCCCTGGCTAATATCTGGCCAACACATATATTTATATATATGTTATATATAGAATGAGGTAAAAGCGTTTTCCCTTACACTTAAAAACCTCTCTATGCTTCGCTCTATCTTTCGACTTGGAGCACAGCTCAAAAAAATTAACTCCTATTGGGCTTTTGGACGCTTCTTTAGTTGCTGGTTCTATTATTTAGTTTTTGCTTTAGCTTGTAACCACTAGCACACGCTGTACTACTAAAACCATAAAGAAATTTGGCTCTCACTGCAACCAATTCCTTTTGCTCTCTAACACAATCAATCCCTCTTAGCAAAAGAGCGAGACATTGATATGTCTTTAACTAACGATACGTGCATGATTCCGATAGATACGCAATATGCTGGACAAATTGGTGGTCATTAAGCTGAACGGTGGCCTGGGCACTTCCATGGGTTGTCATGGACCCAAGAGTGTGATTCCCGTCAGATCTGATTTGACGTTTTTGGATCTGACCGTCCAGCAGATCGAGCATCTGAACAAGACCTACGATGCCAATGTGCCGCTGGTGCTGATGAACTCCTTTAACACCGATGAGGATACCGAGAAGATTGTTCGGAAATACAAGGGCTTCCGCGTGCAGATACACACCTTCAATCAGAGCTGCTTTCCGCGCATCAGTCGCGAGCATTTTCTGCCTGTGGCCAAGGACTTTGATGTGGAGAAGGATATGGAGGCGTAAGAATAATCTTTAAACTCTGATTATTCAGATTTTGTACGAAGTAATATCCTTCTTCTCTTTCTTATTAGTTGGTATCCACCTGGTCATGGCGACTTTTACGACACTTTCCGCAACTCTGGGCTGCTGAAGAAGTTCATCGAAGAGGGACGCGAATATTGTTTCCTCTCCAACATTGACAATCTGGGCGCCACCGTGGATTTGAATATACTCAATAAGCTGGTGGGCGAGGAGCGGGCCAGCACTCCAGTGGAATTTGTCATGGAAGTCACTGACAAGACACGGGCTGATGTCAAGGTGGGAAAGGCACAACAATTGTTCAGCAAAAACCTTATAATTTCGGCTATTTTTTTCCCCTTCAGGGTGGCACTCTCATACAGTTCGAGAACAAGCTGCGGCTGCTGGAAATCGCCCAAGTGCCGCCAGAGCATGTAGATGACTTTAAATCGGTGAAGACCTTCAAGTTCTTCAACACCAACAACATTTGGGCCAATCTAGCATGTATGGAATTTATCCCATTTGTCTTTAGTTTTCATATCATATCAATGCCTAAAATGATGCTACATTTCTTTGTATAGCCATCGATCGGGTCTTGCGGGAGCGCACCTTGAGTATGGAGATTATTGTGAACAACAAAACGCTAGAAACGGGTCTGCGTGTCATTCAATTGGAGACAGCTGTGGGTTCGGCCATGAAGTGCTTTGATGGCGCAATTGGCATCAATGTACCTCGGTCGCGCTTCTTGCCCGTGAAGAAGTCTTCCGATCTGCTTTTGGTCATGTCCAATTTGTATACGTTGAAGAACGGCAGCCTAGTGATGTCGCCGCAGCGCATGTTCCCCACCACGCCACTGGTGAAGCTGGGCGAGAATCACTTCTCCAAGGTGAAGGAGTTTCTGGGTCGCTTTGCCAATATACCCGACATTATTGAGCTTGATCATTTGACGGTCAGTGGAGACGTGACCTTTGGCCGTGGTGTTTCTTTGAGGGTAAATTTGAGATTTCTGTAGTTTATTCTTGATTTATTTCTGTATTTTGTATCTGTACAGGGCACTGTGATCATCATTGCCAATCATGGGGATCGTATTGATATACCCGCTGGGGCTATCCTAGAGAACAAGATTGTCTCTGGCAATATGCGCATCCTGGACCATTAATATTTCCCTCCCCTCCCCTCCCTTCCCCCCCCCCCCCCCCCACCTGCCCACCCTCACCTGGAACCTAGAACCTGGAATTGGAAGTGCAATTGGATGTTGTCTGTCTCATTATATATGTAGTCTAACTTTCTAAGTTTTATGTAGTACTAACCTCGTCACAGGAGGAGGAGTGTTTGCTGTTATCCCCCAAAATTTCAAATTTACGAATCACGAATTTCATTTGTTAGCCCAAACCAACAACTGAAGCACAAAGTGTGTCCTGTGTCAGTCGATCGTTCTGTATATATCGTTAGGTTGAAGCTAAAGCTAAAGTTTTAAAAATCTACTTTCAAAAAATATGTTTAAAAATGTAGTCAAAAGAGAAGCTGTTAAAACACTCATTAAAGGCATGTTTATTTCTATATAAGTATGAGATGGGATTTTGTATAGATCTTAACACTAGTATCACTTCATGGATGGCACTGGTAATCATTGCCTGCTTCCTGAATTCTATGCTGTGTTGTCTATAAGTGTATAATCCTTGCTTATGTGACCCCATTTGATACCCAGCTCTATGAGTTCCAGGGCCAATTTCTTATTGCTATCTGAGGGACCCACAAAGCCCACCACGAGCTTATTCGAGGAAAACTGATCTTGTTCTGTCTCGCAGCTTTGATCCCAGCCCCTGCCCTCGTAGATGTTCGTATCGCCGGCAATCACAAAATTGTAGTTGATGTCCGTGTAACCGCTGCTCTCGATGTGAAATGTTTGGAGTAGCCGCACTTGGAAAACGCACCCTGCTTGGGTGTGGCACGCGGGTGACGCAGTGAGCACGAAGCGTACGGTGTTCACGGGCCGGTTCAGGGGAGGCAGTGCCTTCCCAGGAAGTTGGGCCAACCAGTAGGCGCGTGTGACGAACTTTAGCGTGGCATTTCCAAGCAAGCGCACTTAAATCAAAGGGAGATTAGTTAACCATTTTACTATGTCCTTACAGGCGTGTACATTGTGTCACATCCGGTATCCAGCGTGGCCAGCGCTTGATCATCTCGAACAGCTTCTGGCCGGGACTCTCGCTGGGACTCAGCTGGCGATGGGCATAGATGTGGTAGTCCGGATTCAGCTTATGCAGGCGCACACCCTCGTCCATCAGTCGCTTGGCCGCCTCCACTTGTCGCACTGGTGGCTCCATATTCACAAAGGTTCCAATGAAGGCAATGCTTATGGATACAGCGCCATAGCCGCGCACATGCTGCCCCTGACTATGCCAGCCACGTCCCACATAGATCTGCCCGTCCCCGCCTACCAGAAAGTTATAGCCAATATCCACCCAGCCGAGAGATTTCATGTGAAAACCCTGAATAGTCTGCACACGATAGATGCAAATCTCCTATGGAAATTGGGGATGGGAAGTTAATTCAAGATTGCCCCAGAAGGGGTTCTTTTTCGCACTCACTTCTGTCGTACATCCCTCGGTGGCCGTGTGACTGATGATTACATTGGAGATGGGGAGCTTGAGGTGCTCATATTTATCGCTGGGTGGTTCCCCCTGCCATTCGATGCGGTCGAGTATGTGCAGATTATTATTGGAATTCATTGGGGAATGGGCTAAACCCAGATTTTTATCTATTAATATTTATGTTTCTAATACTTTGGAGATTGATTTCGACTCACTCATCATCCAAAAGGCGTAACCAGCAGCCAGTGCCACTAGTATCAGTAGAAACACACAGAGAAATATCAGTTCCTTTGGGAATCTCTTAACGTTTTTATTCCGCTTAGTTGCGAGATTGTTTTGCTCAGTTTTCTGCATTTTGTGACTACGTTTTGAGGTCTACTCAAGACAACTGTTTCACGGGAAGTGATTCGACCAGAGCCCGAGACCCTACTTGTTGTTGATCTCAAACAAGTTCTGCTCGTTTGGGGGGGTTTATTTTTGCTTTTACTGTTGACAGATGGAAAAATCCCCCGCTCTGAACAGCGCAGTGGCAGCGCGGCGGCAAGATCGTATGAAGAGCTTTTTGATCAGTAGACGTTATATATGTATACTTATATATAAATACTGTGTGATTTGTATGCCTTTGTCATAAAAAAGCTCTCTGACAATATAGGGTGTTTATTTTTTATTGAAGGTTGAGCGAGCTCTAAACGCCGCCCACTTTGAAGATGCAAAACAAAGATATCTCTCTTTCTCTTTGACCAAAAAAAGAGATTAGAGACTGAAGAAATGGGAATCCCCTTTTGAACGAAGGGGCGTTTACAAAAAGCCGAAAACGCAATGAAGCGAAATCAGATATTCTTATATTCTCATTATAAGGCAGAGCAGCTCAAGCAGTTGTGACCCCTATGTGGGTCATCCCCTTTGACAGAAAAACAAGTCTAATTAATCGCTTTTTGCTTTTGGTTTTCATATAATATCACATTTTCTTCAGATTTCGAGCGAATCGTAAGTCTAGCTAAATTGTATATGCCACACATTAAAGAAGGAGAAGGATGAAATTATATTACAATATCAAATATACAATATGTACTCGTACTAGTGCTAGTAAATGGCCTAACCTAATCACGACCAGTGTGTCCAATTGCTAAAGCTCTGGTAAAGTTGATCGGCCTTGTATTCGGTGATGCTGGGCTCCAGTTTGCTCGCACCCGTAAGGCGGTAATTGGGGGAAATCTTGCCCAGACTGACGCCACGTTCGAGCAACAGATGGGTGACGCTAAGCTGCTTGGCCGACGGCTTCTGGTTTTGGAACGAGCCGATGTACGCGAAGCTCAAACTCCGTACATTGTAGCCACTCATGTGGGCCCCCACCTGGTTCCAGCCACGACCCACATACACATTGCCATCGCCGCCAATCACAAAGTTGAAGGCAATGTCGTCCTCCTGAAGGGACTCAATGTCAAACGTCTGACGCAGGCGTACACGCAGCACACACTGGGCCTGTGTGCTGCAGTTGTCGGAATTGGTGGGCAGCACGATGACCAGGGAGACGGGAAGCATGAGATCGGCCAGGGTCTTCTGCGGCGGCTGGGCCAGCCAGGCTTGACGGTGAACAAAACGCAGGATCAGGCCGCCGCCAATGTTGTCTTGATCTGAAGGAATGAATATCGCGGATATATGTAAATTAGAGAACGCATTTAGGAATTTGAATAGTGATTAGTTCTGGAAACCGGAAGGTTGTGTGGGGATATCTTATTCCTTGTGCTCGAAAAGTAATGAAAGTGTTGGTTAACGTTAGGAACTAGTGTTGGTTACGGACTATCGCTAGGAACTAGTGTTGGTTAGAGATGAACGTTACGAACTAGTGTTGGTCAGGACTACCGTTAGGAGCTAGTGTGGAATTATGGAGTACATAAGCGATTTTTTGTTTGCATGTTTATTGGATTTTCTTTTATTAAGTGCAAAAATAACATTTATTTACAACGCATTTTGTTATTTCTGCCAGTGTGGCCACGTCTGTATGATTTTGTAAAGTTCATCGCCGGGACTCTTGGTGGCCACAAGCTGGCGATGTCCGTAGAGCTTATAGTCCGGCTTCAGCTTCTTGAGGCGCACTCCCTCTGCGATCAGCAGTTGACAGGCACGGAGCTGGGCCTTTGTCGGCTTGATCTTGTCAAAGCTACCCAGAAAAGAGATGCCAATGCTGTCCATGTTGTGTCGTAATGCGTGGGCGCCTATAATATCCCAGCCGCGTCCCTCGTAGACGCGACCATCGCCGCCAATCATAAAGTTGTAGCCCACCTGATCCCAATTGTAGCCATCCATGTGAAAGCTTTGAGCCACTCGTGCCCGATACGAGCAGACTTCCTGAAAGGCGGTGATATCCAGAAAACTTCTTATAAAGGTGTAAGTCCACTCACCAACGATTCACAGCCCTCGGAGGCGGTGTGGGAGATGATCACACGGGAAACGGGTAGATCAAGAAGATCAGGCTCACCTCTAGTTGGCTTGCCGCCCCAGTCCTTGAGTTGGATCATCTCTAAATCTCCATCCAACACAATATCACCTTCGACTAGAACAAAGATCATCATAAGCCGTTTGGGGAGTAGTAGGGGAAGTGATAAGAAGAGTAGAGTACATACATGTCATATATTCCATTCAACTCAACTTTAGGCAACACTTTTGGACACATTTTTTGTTGTTGTTTTGGACAAAACGAGAACCCGTGACGGAACAGGTTCCAACAGGAAACGAATGGATGAGGTAATTTTTTTTGTGTTGAAAATGAAAATGCAAATGGGCTTTTCCTTGTGTGAGTGTGTAGATAGACTCTATTTGAACATAGATAATATATAAGCCATTCCATTAAACAAAACTTAACTAAACTTAGATCTAAACTATATGTCGTGAGACCAATGTGGCCATTTTTGGATGATTTTGTACAGCTCCTCGCCGGGACTCTCGGTGGCACTTAGTTGTCGATGTCCGTATAGCCGAAAGTCGGGGGCCAGCATCTTGAGACGCACTCCCTCGGAAATCAGGAGCTGGCAGGCCTTGAGCTGCCTCTCTGCTGGCCTTATAGCCGTAAAGGTACCAATGAAGGAGATACCTATGCTGCCTTTATTATAGCCCTTGGTGTGGGCACCCACTCGATCCCAGCCGCGTCCCTCGTAGACGCGTCCATCGCCGCCCACAAGAAAGTTATAACCGATATGATCCCAGCCCCAGCTGTCTACGTGAAAGGACTGAACGACCTGCGTGCGATTCGAGCAGATCTCCTTGCGATGGGAGGATAACAAACGTTAAAACGTTACAAACATTGATGGAATACCCTGTGATTGGACGGGACTAGACTTACCCTCGATTCACAGCCTTCGGCGGCTGTGTGTGAGATGATTACACGATGAACTGGCAGGTCCAAGGGATCTAGAGTGGTCTTGGGGGGCTTACCACCCCATTCGGCAACTTTGAGCATGACTAGGGTGCCATTGTCGATGACATCAAAGTCAGCTGCATATGGAAAGTTTCGTGGGTTAGCAATGTACGATCGCATAACGCTTGATTCACTCTCTCTATATTCCATTCAATTAAACTAAGGTTACGCTCTCAGTTACTCCTTTATACCGAGTTTGTACTTTGTTCACTTCACAACACTGTTCGTACAGTACAGTTACGCGCGTTTTAGTAGTAGCAGGATGTATGTATGTATAAATGTAAGTGTACGAGTATATTCCACCGGTTGTATGTGTATTTAGTGTGAATTGTATGTTGAATTTGCTTTTGTTTCTGAGGGTTAGAGACATGCAAGAAAGGAATAGATGTTGTTGGGAACGGGTTAAGGTTAAGATTAAACCAATCGAGTAAAAAGCACTTTCGGCTCACACACAAAAAGACACTTAATTGAGGACAAAAAAACTGTACCTATTGTTGAATTGATTGGAATATTTAGTCTGGAATCGTCGAGAACATCACCGAGCTTACTTTTGTTCAACGTCTTGCCAAAGAGGTTCGTTGTGGTGGCCAAAATGATGCCCAATAGTGTTGTTAACAATACAAATGCCACCGTTATGCTGATGGCCTTGCGACTTATGGTATTTGGCAGATACGGACAGAGCATAGGCGCCTGCTGACCAGGATCATCAAGCTTGGAACCTACAAGAGGGAACAGCCAACGAAAAAAATTATGGTCAATGATGATCAATGATGATCAATGATGGTCAATGATGATTAATGATGGGAACTTATAGTTTGCTGTTGTGTTCTTCTAGAGTGAAAGCACTCTTACGCTGCTCTAACACCTCCAATCTCTTCTCGTGCTGCCTGAGACTCTGCTCCAACCATTTGCTCAACTGCAAGGAACTCTGGTTTTGGTTGCTCCCCAGACACCCATCACATTTCGAACTTAAATTGGGGATTGTCTCTAGCAGCTTAAGCTGCTCTTTGGTCAGGCCCGTGCACTGGCTATGCAAGACACGGCTGCATAGACCATTATCACATTTGATCCGACTAGGGATCGTTGCTATCACACCGCGACACTTCTGGCAACATTCGAGCGCACTGTCCAACATCGTCTGATCGTTCCCAATGAACAACTGAAGCAATTTCGAATCTGATTCCGATCAGATTTTGGCATGCACTAGCGGTACTTTTTTCGAAATACACACCTACAGACAAGTGCGTGCCACATTTTTCCCTCTTTTGCTATTTATTTAGGCAAAAATAAAAACCCCCTTTGTACACGTGCCATTTACTACGCCAGAAATGGGGAAGAACCTTTCTAGGTACAGTCTCTCTCTCTGTGTTAATAAAAGCTACTAACAAAATGGAGACTACGTCCCCCTCTGTTTGCGGAGTCCCCTGCCACTGCTGCACTGGAATTGGATTTCTGGCTGGCTCATTTAATTATGGTAATTGTGAAAACCAATCAAGTAAACAATTGCATCTGGGGTCTGTCTTCTTGTGGAAAAAACTGCCTAGCAGACCTTGAATTTCGCAGTTAAATTATATTTTTGTGATTGATTTTTATGGTTTTAATCGATCTCCTAACAGTCGACAAAAAGAAACTAAGAGATTTATCTTTTTCTTTGCGAATGAAAGTCGAAATATGTATCTCTTTTTCTTTAAATGATTTTTAAGTTTCCCCAGCTGCAGTGTCGCTGGGTTTTTCCACTCCCAACATATAGAAAATACTATTTATTGTATATTTGTTCGATGTATCTCAAATTGTGTGGGGCCATCTGCTAATCTACGATTCGCAGCACAATCGTTAAACCTCTGAGTAAACAAATTGCTGCCCCAATAAAGTAAACAGAACAGAATAGAGCAGAGTCGAAGGTGAACACAAGTCAGGAATGTGCTACTTAGGCAACAGGAAATCATAGATAGATATAGTAGGCACTCACCCGCTGGAGTGCCATTCGCCTGGGGGCGACCATTGAAGGCGGGATTATCTTGGCCAGCGCCCAAACCGCCATCGGCGCAATCGCCGGGTTTCCACTTGTCCCGATTGTCGATGAGAAACTGTTGTATCGTGACGGGACCCTCATAGAAGTGCTTGTCCCCGAAGGTCACGTCTGTGGAGTTGGTCAGCGCTATGCTGCCGATGCCCTGCGGCGAATTGGGCCCGGTTTGGGTGGGGGTGGCCAAGGCCAGGCTCCCGTTGAGCAGCTGCTTGGCCATGGCCCCAGCCTCGGAGGCTGTGGGTGGCGGCACTTCGGTCTGGCCCGGTGTCACCTGACGACTTATTAGGGTCAGGCCCTGGTTAAGGTCACGAAGCTGGGAGCTGCAGTTGGGCGGGTAACTGATCTGCTGGCCTAGCTTCTGGACCGTGCAGTCATCGTGGCTGCCCTCGACATCGGAGTCGCTATCAATGCAGCTGGAATCGAGGGCATTCTCATCGATGGACACAATCGAGATAGTCGTACTCCGAATGGAGAGAGTGGGCGAGGTCTTAGCCCCTTTACTCTGACTGATATTTATTGTATGCTCGATGCTAATGAGCTTGGGATCCTGTGACTTCGTATTCGCTTCCGCCTTGGGTCTTGACTGGGGCTCCTCATCGCTGCTGCTACTCGTATCTTTGGTCATTGGTCCCTCAGCTTTGAAGTTAGGCACATTATCGATGAGTATGACACCAGAATCTGTGGATGAAGTGCTGCAGTTCTTGCCAGTCGTCAGATTAATGATCCGATTGCTCATATCGGCACTCAACGGCTGCCCGTTCATATTCCTTTTATAATTCACATGCATCGCGTAATCAGAACTTGACTCTGGGGATATCTCTCTGTCTCTCTCGGTTTCGTGTTCTGCTGCTGTTGGTTTAGCTATTTAGCATCCCTCCTCCCTCAGATTTGGGAGAACATTTTTGCACATTTAGAACTTGTTCTTTTTGTGGTATCGGATTTTCTGACACTGTTGGAGGCTCAAGGCTTTTGGCAAATATCACATCACATTATGAGCATCTGCAAACAGTAACATTTGATCTCAACTCAGTTGAAATTCTGTTTGAAATTTTCTCTTTGTTTGATTATGTCTTTGATTTTTATCTTTGTGCACTTTTTTACTTGAGTTTACCAGACTTTATACAATAATTTAATCCAATCTTTGGACAAATTTATAATTAAGAAGATAAGAACATAAGAAAAGAAAAAAAGTTAGATTTTATATTTCAAAAATTGCAAAGCTTTTAATCGTTTTATTGTTATCAGAGAGACAGTTTTCCTTGTGATTTAGTCGTATACTATATTTTTATTAATAGATCATTTATATGCCATATTTGATAATGACGGCTTGCTGTCTTAGGGGCCCGTCTGCATTATTATTTTTCCGAATATACAATTATATTTCGTATTATAACCCAGCACTGCTCAAACCTAAAAATTATGCAGTTTTTTATTGTATGCCCCTCTTTAAATTTTGATTCATAAAGTTACCCAATCAGCCCCATAAATTGACGCTTGACGTTTTCACACTGGAGACGACAACGACTAGACCGAGAGGCTTTTGCAAATTATCTATAATCATTGACGTAATATATTTACTTTAGTGGATTCCGAGAGAAGCTACGCTGCAGCCAACCACTGGCTATAGTACAGATCCATTCGGACTTGTTGTGTGTACATAGTTGTCTATAACTATGACGTCCCGTCCGGTTGAAAAAAACACCTTTCCAAGACAATCGAAACTCTTTCATTGCACAAACTTGGAGAATGAATTCGCGGAACTTTGATAAAAAAAAACCCACGAGAGGGGGTGTGCCTGGCCATAGAGTTGGCACAGAGCGGGCTTTTGAGATAACACACGAACAACCGCTACAAATGAGGAGCAAAAATAATTTGTGAGCGCACCAATACACTCAAATCTAAGCGGCCATTGTCACCAATACATCCCTACATCCCCTATATCTGTATGTATCTGTGTCTGCGTTTCTGTCTCTTTGTTGGGCTCCGAGGTTCTGTTTAAAGTGGAGGCTGTCTCTCTGACTGTCTGTCTCTCTTTTTTTTTTTACGTTTTTTCGAAAATTATCATTAAATATTGCCTACACTCGTATGTGCAAATTAATTGATTTTAGCTTGAACGTGTTTTCATTTGTGGTTTTTTTCCTTGAACATTTTTCCATTTCCATTTTGGAATTCTTTCATCGCTATTTTTTTTTTGATCATTTTTATTGTGATTACTCTGATTTACACTTTTTACACACATATACATACATAATACATATATAATTAATGTGATTGTTGTTAAATTTTTGGTAGCACCAAAAATTAAAACAAAATCTTCTCAACTTAAAAAAAATGCTCACAAAATTATCAAAAAAAAAATAGAAAACATTTTTACGCACTTCCAAAAGGCCGACGCGAATCGAATGCAGCACATATGTACATGTAAATATTTGTACCACTATATAGATGTTGTAAAATAATCAGCGACTCGTTTTATTGTAATTTTATTGCGCGCCAAAGATGAAATTGTCGAGCAGCGGCGCGTTCGAATGACTCTGATCGACTGAGCGGGCGATCCGATCACACGGCGGATCGTCAGGCTGGAGAGTCAGAGACCCCCCGAAGCACATAGGGAAAAAGAGAGACAGAGAGAGAGAGAGAGAGAGAGAGCAAAAGAGGGGAGGGAGAGAGAGATAGAGAGCCACAGGTCTGCTTGGGAATCGCTGTTTATAATTTTTTGATTTGGGCCTGATTTTGTGCTGCAACTTCGAGAACGCGCTTTAAAGCTTTACGATATACTAAAATATATTTTGAATATTTTATGAATTTTTTTCACCAACTTCTGACTTTGGAAAACCTTGTCCTAATTATGCCTAACTAAAATTTATAGATGGTAGGTATGTAGGTATATATTTATGTATGCTGTTCTACAAGTCTTACCAGTTTTATTAAGCGTACGTTGTAGCAGGTTGTTGCCGCTTTTTCCTCTCTTTCTTAAATGGTAATGGGACCCAAGAATTCCGAGATCGTATGCATGTGATACGGCTGCATTCTGGGAGATCGTTATATCTTGGTTTAATTATTCGATTTCCCCATGCGTCACTGCGTAACCAGTTCTTTCGGTTTTTTTTTGTATTTCTGTCTGTTTGGTTCCAGATATTCGTCAAATTTACAATGATATTTCTCTAGATACGCCCCATCGCTGGTAGCTGGTACCTGGAGCTGAAACTGAAGCTGGAAGCTGGAGCTCTCTCGACAGCACTTGGCGGTTAGTTAGTTCTCTAGCGCCCACCCGACGATGACTGTTTGTTTTTGTTTAGACGTATACACAGATACGGTACTGTATATACCGCAAAACGCATATATATTTAACTTTTGTTTTTTTTTTTGTGTTATTTGTTCATCCAATAAACAACACAAATCTCTTGCTCTCTCCCCGGCGGCTGGTTCACGGCATTCATGGTGGTACACGTGCGGCCAAAAATTTTAACATTTCAAATTGCGCTACCATTTCCGAGAATTGTTTTTCTTTTGTGCACCACCGCAATGTGTTTTTGGGCTATTTTGTTTGTTGTCTTTTCTTCACATTCGCAAAATAGCCGTTGTACTTACTCTGTGGCAAAAATATTGAATGTAATTATTGCTTGGCCGCTTTTTTCTCGTCTGATAGTCTGATGAAGAGAAGGTCGGGGAAAACTTTTTATGGATAAATTATACAACAAAATAGCCATAAATTGGCGGAACGAATACCAGATGCGTTACATTGAAATGCCCGGCTCTTCTTGGGATGCTGGGATGGGTTGAAAGCTTGTAAAGTTTGTATTGGTACTTGAAATTTTCGAGGGACTCAATGGGTATAAGAGTACAAGCAACGTATAGCATTTAATTCCAAAAAAACTAAAATATTGTTAAATCAAAAATCTTTATAGCTGAAATTGCTGTTAATATACCAAGAAAATATTGAAAATACTTACATTTAATATCATAAGCTCTACAAAATGTTTATATGCATTCTGCATAAAAAGTTGTTGTTACAATTACCAGACAAATTCCAGAAACAATACAAAATATATAAGAAAAATATTAATACTAAAAAAAAATCTTTTGAAAAGCGCTGTAAAAATATCAAGAAAATACTGAAGTAATAACACTTAATACCAGGAAAACTAAAAAAACTACATGAAATACTGACATTGAACAGTAAAAATAACAAAAAAACTAAATAAAGTTTATTACCAAAAATGGTAAAACTATTTTCTTGAATAATCGCAGTTTCTGTTCTATTTCCTCTGAAAAGCTCATAAAAACGCCGTTAAGGTACTACGAAAATACTCAAATACTACTATCAGGTAAACTAAAAAAAAATTCCAGAAATACTGACAATCAATACTAAAAATACTAAAAAATATACCAGGAATAAAAAAATTTTCTTGAATAATAGCAAAGCGCTGTTTAAACATATACCAAGAAAATACCCCGCTGATATCGTTAAAGACCTATAGAAATGCTGATGTTATCTATCGATCTTCTACAAGCTACCAACTCCTTTATTGGTAGCCCATTTTATTGTTTGTGTACAAATCATTTCCGATAAATTTTCAAGTTGAATACCCATAAATAAACCTAATACCAATCGTAATACCATTTGTATATGCCTTTACACCATTTTATCATTTTCTTTCTTTAATTATTATTAATTATAGTGGTCCCCTTTTTTGCGTGTGGTTTCTACACATGCCGCACTTTCGTCATTGTTTTCTCAGCCCCATGGCATCACTCTTGAGGCCAAATTTGGTCCGCGGGGGTATATTCGAGTATGATTTATTTCTTTAAGGGCGTTGCTATTTGATGAATGAATACGATGAGTGGTTGCAGTGAAGGTCGTCGATTAGACACACCCACCATGCAGGAAGAAGTATAGAAGAATATTATAGAATTAGGAGTGTACCAATGGAAAACGTTCTAGCAGTTTTGGTTCCAGTAATTATATCAATAGGTAATGTTCCAGTAATCACGAGAATTACTCCAGTAATGTAGCAAAATCTATCCTATGAAAGGGCCATATGTAGCGACCTCAATTTATACGTACATCATTTGTTTTTCGTGCATTTTTTTGTTGTACAGTATTTTAATTAAGTTGAAAACCAGATAAATAACAGGCGACGACGACAGCAGCAGTCAAAACACTATCCCCCATACACAAGTGAACATGAAGCTACCGATAATGATGGTTGTACTTGCATACACAATCATACGTATGATACAGATATGTGTATAGTAGAGTAGATAGAGTATATAGGCACGATGATATAGTATACTACTGTGCTCATGAGAGTGTTAAAAGCTGGTCTACTATATACATTTACTGATAGGTTCGGTTCGGTGTTTGCGGCTTGGGAATTTCCAGCTTTTGAGCAAAAGTTAAAACAAAATTAAGAGAGAGGGTGAATCGCATACAGAGAGATAGAGAGACAGAGAGAGAGGAACTGCTCTATAAATAAACGTACATATGTATGTCTCTCTCTCAACCGGTTTGGTTTTTTTTTGTTTAAACCAAAACCCAAGTCAGACATAACCGATTATCCAGAAGAAAAAAGAAAGCTCGTGTCATTTTCTTGTTTAGTATATATGTATATTAAATGTAATTTGTATTTGGATACTCTTTTAAGTGGTATGAAGTCTATGGAAAGGTAGGTCTACTGCTTGGCATCCCAGGAGGCACGCGTCATGCCCAGCTCGCTCCCACAAGCGGGTGCATCGTCCAAGCCACAGCCATAAAAATGGGGCCATTTTCGGATCTCCCGAAACACATTGACGCCGGGACTCTTGGCCGTCTTCGTCTGGAATCAACAGAACAGGTCAAATGGCTTTGGTCCTCTTGCTTTGCTTTACCTGATTCTGGGCCACCAGTTTGTAGTCTGCTTCCAGCTGGTGATTTGCCACTGCATGGGCAAGCAGAAATTGGACACCTTCCAGCTGCTTGGGTGATGGCATGTACCGTCCGTAGTCACCCATAAAGGTAATGGCCAGCGTCTGGTTGGCA